ATGGAACAACTGATTGGTTCAAAATTGGGAAAGGAGCATAACAAGGATATATATTGTCCCCCTGCTTATTTAACTTATATTTAGAATACATCATGCGAAAGGCAGGACTGGATAAATCCCAAACCGGAATTAAGATTGCGGGAAGAAATATCAACAACCTCAGATATGCAAATGATACCACTCTGATGACAGAAAGTGAGGGAGGAATTAAAGAAGCTCTTAATGAGGGTGTAAGAGGAGAGTGTAAAAATGGTCTGAAGCTCAACATCGAAAAAACTAAGATCCTGGCCACTAGTCCCATCACCTCCTGGCAAATAGAAGGGAAAAACATGGAGGCAGTGACAGATTTACTTTCTTGGGCTCGATGATCACTGCAGATGGTGACAGCAGCCACGAAATTAAAAGACGCCTGCTTCTTGGGAGGAAAGCGATGACAAATCTAGACAGCATCTTAAAAAGCAGAGACATCACCTTGCCAAAAGACGTATGCATAGTCAAGGCTATGGTTTTCCAGTTGTGATGTATGGAAGCAAGAGCTGGACCATAAAGAAAGCTGACCACCGAAGAATTGATGCTTTTGAATTGTGGTGCTGGAGGAGGCTCTTGAGAGTCCCCTGGATTGCAAGGAGAACAAACATATCCATTCTGAAGGAAATCAAACCTGAGTGCTCACTGGAAGGACAGATCCTGAAACTGAGCCTCGAATACTTTGGCCATCTCATGAGAAACGAAGACTCCCTGGAAAAGACCCTGATGTTGGGAAAGTGTCAAGGCACAAGGAGAAGGGGACGACAGAGGACGAGATGGTTGGACAGTGTCATCAAAGCTTCCAACATGAAATTGACCAAACTCCGGGAGGCAACGGAAGACAGGAGGGCCTGATGTGCTTTGGTCCATAGGGTCACAAAGAGTTGGACACAACTTAAAGACTAAACTGCCCTCTTCCTCTACTACGAATTCTGCAGCCACAAAACCATGTATGTTATCAACAGGAACATGCAACACATAAAGCTGTGCCACACTGGCCAAATCCAAAGAAAAAACTGCATATGTAAGACCAATCATGCAGCATTTTCCTTCTCTCAACATCTTCCCTTCATGAGACAACCAGTTATGTGGCCAACTTTGCAACCAGCATAGTTTCAAGTATGTGAAGGTGAGTCTGCATGGGAGAGGAAAATTCTTCCACAATTACTCTTACACAATCACATACATAAACAGGATTTTTTGTTTGTTTGTTTGTTTGTTTATTCATTCATTCATTCTATTTGTACCCTGCCTATCCGCTCAAAACAACCACTCTAGTCAATTATGTTCTGGTATTATATTACAACATGTTTAATTGTGTTTTATAACTGTAACTGACTATGGTTTTTACCCATTTTGTGAGCTGCTCTAAATCCCACCCACCCACCAGGTGCTTTGGATAAAGGAAGGATATAGATCAAATAAATAATAAAGTGAGAAATATCAGTTACAGTAGTGACACATTCCTTTAATTATTCCTTAATTGTTTAAACTACTATGGGCTTATTTCCATCAAACAACTCCCAATAACATTTTAATTAATGAGTAAACATTATTAATTGCACCAAAACCTGAACATACCCCATTGCCCCGAAAATAAGACCTAACCTGAAAATAAGCCCTAGTAGGATTTTTCAGGATGCTCGTAATATAAGCCCTACACCAAAAATAAGCCCCAATTAAGTGAAACCCCTCCCTCCACCATTGTGCAGCAACCAGATGATGATGACATGACTGTAAAATAAAACAATCCCTGAAAATAAGCCCTAATGCATTTTGGAGCAAAAATTAATATAAGACTCTGTCTTATTTTTGGGGAAACAGGGTAGTTCACAGAAACTATTATTTTCAAAAGTAATATAATTGCCAACTTGCTACAGTATATCACAGAAGTGAGTATATCCCCTCACATTTCATAGAGATTTTAGTTTATCTTTTCATGTGACAATACTGAAGAAATGACACTTGACTACAATGTAAAGCAGTGAGTATACAGCTTGTATAACAGTGTGTAAATGTGCTGTCCCCTCAAAATAACACAACACACAACTGTTAATATCTAAACCGCTGGCAACAAAAGTGAGTAAACCCCTAAGTGACAATGTCCAAATTGGGCCCAAGTACAGTGGTGCCTCGCACAGCGAGGTTAATCCATTCCGGATTAACCCTCGCTGTGTGAAACATTGCTGTACGGAAGTAAAAAAGCCATTGAAAAGCATTAAACTATGTTTAATGCGTTCCAATCGGCACGTTTACTTACTGTACAGCGATGCCGGCAGCCATTTTTGCGCCCTCCCCTCGCAGAACGAGGGCGCGAAAATGGCTGCGATCAGCTGTTCCGCGGCTTCAAAATGGCCGCCGGAACAGCCGAAAGGGGCCGGGGCACAGCGTTTTCGCGCCCTTGGTAAGCAAGGGGAGGGCGCGAAAATGCTGCCGGAAGCCCCGAAATGGCTGCGTGCAGCGCTTTCACGCCCTCCCCTTGCTTACCAAGGGCGCGAAAACGCTG